ATGCCACCCAGTCGTTACGACAGACAAGAAGAGTTACTTGTGAAAAATGGATTTCGAGGAAAACTTAACAATACCGCGCTATTTTCGGCTCTCTGCATTTGTTATTTTAAGTACGCTAGGAAGCTGATATTCATAGTTGGTTTTTATATTTATAAGATCATGAACTAATCACAGCCATATTATAGTATTTTAAGATATTTAAAATGATTTAAAAATAACAATGGAATACGAAAATATTGGTCTATATTTTATCTTCGATTAGCGTGATTTCCAATCAGCAGACATCGCAGATATAATATTATTTGACGTTATAGGAAGAAATTTGATTTTAATTGCGACGGGCGTATTTTGTAGATGTTTAAAAAAATATTCGCTGACTAGGAAAATTTCTCGTTGACATGCTGCAAAATTAATCGTATTGCGATTTTTTGTTCGAAAATACTCTTTTCAAGTCGCATACGTTATATATGAAATTTTTACACGCAGGGAAGAAAGTAACCGAAATTTCACAGTAACATAGTTAAATGGTTATTATGCGAGTGGGAAGGGGAGAACGCTATCTCCATAACGATCGATTTCCTTGAAGCGTGAATTTGCGAACCATCACCAACGATTTTATCATGACGGTGATACAGTAGTGAAATGGGACCGAGAATGGAAAATAGTAGACGAGAGATAGAACTCGTTCGACTCCATAATTTGACTCGAAATTGCTTACTTCCGGCGTAGTTACATACTTACTACAATGTAATTGCATACTTATAGCAGTGGCTTTCATTTCGTCGAGCTGTTTCAGCTGAGTAATATAACAATAATAGTTGTTATTATCATCATTATCGTGTCTTAAAGATTGTCGTAAATATTCTTTAACGTTTTGAAAAACTTTAACGTTCTTTAAAGATCTGAAAAAGTAAGAGGCACATCTTTTATATATATAGTATTTGATTCCAAGGATTTCTTTATAATACATTCGCTGTCATATGTATCTTCAATTTTCGCAATTAATATAATTTTTCATATACTTATAGTTAAAAATATATATTATATTATTATTATATATATTTTATAATATATTATAATATATAAAAATATTTATAAGATATAGCATATTCTAGTAGCAAACATATTACTCTACAAAAAGTTAAATTATTTTTAACCGTTATTTAAAACGTAATTTTCTTATTATTAGCTATTTTTTAACAGCTAATAAGGTTGTCGTATAGAAATATTAATTTTTCGGAAAAGAGGTTACACATGGTGATACTTGTAAATATTAAAAGATGGATAACAAAGAGAGAGGATTACACGATTCCTGAAATAATTACTACTTTATTATATACGAATACCATTCATACGTCGCAAGTGAAAAATATTATGTATTCGAAGATCGAGAAGGGAGCCCGCTTATTTTCTCGACACATTTTATTATGTAATATAAACTTATGTGTTATACATCGCTACATATGCTTTGGCTTAATCGCTAGTCCTATCGACTATCCTTATGGCTAGAATGCACAGTGACTTGTACAGAATCATCATCATGGCACTCCACATACTCCTTCATTGATCTGTCATTGATTTGTCATTGTCACGTAACGCCGGTAACGTGTGAAAAAGGAAGGGATGAAAATGCATTTGTGTATTGTATCGAATAGGTATTTTATGGAAAACAAAATTTACATAGTAATCACGCGTGAATGTTGTTCTTTTTTTTAAGAATACACTGCGAATCGTATTGTGCACAAATTACAAAAAAAAATTGGAACAATCATAATTAGTACAATTATATATATACAGATTAAAAGCATAATATATGTATACATAAGTATTTGTGTTATTCGAATTATTGGAAAAGAGTAAAGTTCTGATCGAATATTGTTGAACCAGGATAAAGAAAAGATTTCGCATTATTATTATATAAACTCTAGCGAAAGCGAATTTTCTGATACAGTTGCATCGAACTAAGCGTATCAAACTCGAACACTTTTATCCATGAATTTATTTGCATCGTTATTTCAAGCATATCCACTCCTTTCCTCTTTCTATGTCACAGAAGCTCTCGTGTCACGAAAGCGTTCCCGTTTAGTTTACAAAACGTTTATCCTTAATGCATCTAACTGCGAGACGGCAACGGCTCGGTCCTCCTTCCTATTTGTGTGTGTGTGTGTGTGTGTGTGGTGCGCGCGCACGTATGGGTGTGTGTGTGTGTATTATATATACACCGAGAAATGAAAAGCGGCTCTCTTATCGCCGTGCGGTATTGTTTCATGATAGATTTTACAATACGTCGCGTCGGCTAGATTTCCGGTCTCGGAGATTAGCCTGGCTTGATATTTTATCTCAACAGCACGGCTCCCGCCGGCAACAACGGTTTTCGAGGAATTCTCTCAGGCGAAGATCAGCTGCTAATTATCGCGAACAATCGGGTTTTAACATAATATCAAAACGCCATAAGTAACATTGTAATTAATATTATTCCCGTCGTGTATATTTCTTGTATTCGCGCTTGAAAGATTATAGGTTAAATAGCGGTACATATTACGTATAAAACGTATGCCAGAAATTGTTGTAATTTTAACGAAGGACTTTTTGACAAATCCAATTCTTTCCTTTGAGATAATTTCGACCACAGTACGGCGATCATCTCATTTTTATATTCAGTTTTGTCCGGTAGCTATTATTGCCATCGTGCGAGAGCTTTCTAACTATCTTTTCCATTTATGAGATTACGTTTCGCATGAAAACCTTTAATATAGCTTGGAAATTTAAAAAAGATCTTAGCACGAGCAGAAATTGTATTCGTATAAAAACGATATATCATCTTACTTTATATGAGTATTGTCCAAGATGTGCGGATTTTTCGTATCTTTATTTAATATCGTTTAAATACAGTAACAGAGGATTTTTGTGAGATATGAGATAATTGTGGAAGCTATTACGTTACAGTACCACACGGCAATTTGCATTCTGAAAATTTTTACGCGTAATCGAGCTTTCCTCATGTTTATCCGTTACTATCGCGAAGATTGGCCTTTCATATCAGTTTACAGTGGGATGAACAAATGTAGATATTATATGCGGCAGTATGTGAGTTTGTACAGTATGCTGTATTTTCCGCTCATACCATTCTTTTTCACGCAGCATGATTATTCCGTTTTTTGCGGGAGCCAAAACACAGCAGGGAAATCATTACTATTGTCACGCTTGACATTAATTTAAAAAAATTTAAACAATATTTAATTATAGCAGCACACACACAGCAACAGACACAGTTCATTTTTCTGTTGAAATTAATAGTTTTAATTCAAATAAAAAGTTGTGCAGAGTTACAAATATTTTAGCTATATATAGGTTTTTATCCTTGTCGCTCATTTAGTGCTAAATGCAATTGTGCAATTTACTTGCGTGTAGATTGACTGTTCCTTGTTCGTTCACCGTTCTTCACATTAGACGAATTATGACTATTAAAATTTAATTTAATTAATCGTATCAAATTTTACGATCGATCACGTTTAATACTAAACGTTCGACGAGAATAGCGGTCATGGACGTTAGACATGAAGGACAAGCCGTGCGTCAACATACATCGCATACGGAATTCAGCGTTGCATCCTTAAATCCGTCCGCCAGAGCGAGATTGCTTTTTGTTCGTTCTTACATAATTATAGATTTCGCGTTTTTCACAACACGCCGGGCAACAACGCCGAGCTCCGCGTCGCGCGATTAATATACGGTACTAATAATTAACGATTAGACGTTAGTTATTAATTATTATTGTTAAATTTATGCCTAAGATATAATACACTCACCTAAGACGTACCTGATGTGATATCTTTGTAAAAATTTCCCTACCACGCCACGAAAGAGAGAGAGAGAGAGAAAGAGACAGACGAGAGAGTGAGTGAGAGAGAGATGCAGCACTCTCGATGACGATGGAGAAAAAACAGAACCCGGTCTGCAGATTCCTCTTTTATACGATACCTTTCGTCGATGCTGTCGTCGAGCGAGGAGACGCTTTGCGAAAAACATCCCCAAGCGAAAACATTGTCTGGGATTTTATGCGAGCGCGCGCATCTCGTGTTGAAAATCGCTCTGACGTTTTCCGATACATCCTATCGGACATCGATCTTATTCTTCTTTCGCACGAAATATTTTAATTTTTTGATCATTGCACAACGTTTCGAAATTGTAAATGTTTCACGAATTTCTTGAAAAGGAACAATTCTGGCAGTGAAGTTATGACAAGAGAAGCTAAGGATAATAGAGCTTCAAAATATAATGAACTAATAATGAATATTGAAGAAAAATGAATTTTGTAATCAAGATTTAGGAAATAATTTTGTTATTAGTCTTATTTAAGAAAATTCGATTGTAAATTTTGTACGCGACTATTTTTGTTCCGCGATGGAAAGTAACGAGCCAGTAAAAACTTTGTTAAATAATGTAGTACGTCTCGGAAACGCCGGCTTAATCTCGGCGGAGATTCCAGTGCTGCACGCGATGGTTAAATTTTACCGAGAAATTCCGCACCTGAACGTGCAAATCGCCGATCACCGCACTCGTAACGTGGTCCGTCATTTGTACCGACGATTAAACTGTCAGTTTAATTGCACCTAACGTTTTTCTTCCGGAAAGTCGGGTCAATTTTCTAATTATGCCGAGGTTCATTTCTTTTTTCAATCGCGTGCAAAGGTATGTTATTACCTCATCTCGTCGATCGTTAAACCCGCTTTTGAATATAAAGTCGAAAATTAACTTAATTTCCAATAAAGATATATCATATAAAAATATATATGTTAAGTTAATATATAAATTGAGGGAATTTAAATCTCTTTGATATTTTTGAAAATGTATTTTTTAAATATATTTCGTTAATTTTATCATTGTCATAAAATTTGCAGTTGATTATGAATCGTCATGAGATAGAATTCTATAATTCAACTTGCAAAACACAGATATTTTAAGTAGATACATACATGTTACTTTTTTTACTATTTAGCTTTTTTTGCTTGTTTTTGCTATAGCATTTTTGCTGTAACAAATTCGATAAACAATGCCGATTGTTCAATTATTCTGAAAACAAAAAAGATCGAAACGCCGTGCGCTCGGAGTGAAAATCGAGCCTCAAACGCATTTCAGTGATACACGCGGAAACGCGATACGACGCGAGTCAGCTATTCGAATTTCTCTTTGGCAATCTTTGTGTTTTCAATTCGCGGTCCGAGCGATACATATCTATATGTATATGTATCGCTCGACGAACGTGACATCAAACGACAATAAATGCAAGCGAGTAAAATAAAGCAGCCGTATGTGATAATGCTTCTCCGCTTGTTTGCGAAAATATGTAATGGCTGCGAATACTAATTGTAATGAAATATATTATATCGTTCGATTATATGACTCGACGCTCTTTCTCGTCACGGCCACTCATTATATATATCAAACAGGATTTAATAGCAACGGGATTACGTGAAATTACGTCATGCATGGTCATTACAGTCATCTGTGTAAATGTACACGGTATTATCGTCCGATGCCAATGTAATCGCTGCAACAGTTACTAATTCTTTTACCTTAAAATATCAGATATTGTTTATGAATTTTCGTGTAACGCATATTGTCAAATCACGCAGATGTTACGTTTTCTAAATGGGACACATGGTATGTCCCATAAATACACGTCTAGTCATGTTGCGGTGACTACTGAGAGAGATATAAAAAAGATACTCTTCTCTAGCCTGTGTATCATTTTCCATTCATTGAATTATTTAATCATATTCGCGTCCCAGCGTGCGTTTCTCGCATAAGTCACTCCTCGCTCGTCTCGCCCGTCTTTGGCTTACACGACCTTTCGTCCGTGAGCGAGTCACTTTGGTACGGTACACGTGTTCGTGGAAGGGGACCGACGCGGACGATGACTACCAATGATAGTCGATGATCGGCTTACTCTCCGAGCACGGATTGACGCTACCACACCACTTGGTCTCCTTCAACGGCGGACACGGTGCGCCACCCCGGCGCGGCTTTATCGTGATTTTCCGCGTCCTCTGGGTCTCGCCTACCCCGCAGCTGCGACTACACGCGCTCCACGGGCCCCATTCGCCGACCTTGCAATCTCTCGGTGCACCTGAAATCACGAATGCAATTATTCCGCTCGAGCGGATGAGCGAGTTCATGTCCAATCTCGCAACGTGCAGAGAAATTCTCGAAGTAGATAACCGGCGCGATCTTCGGAATAGGTGACCGCAATAAAAATCGAGGAAATTTTCTACATTTAAATTTTGCTCAAATAGTTCCCTTACAAAATTTTTTCAAAATATTAATTCTTTCAAGGACTGTGAAATGTAATTATTTGATATTAATTTGAGATAATCTATAGTTTACAATTAGTTCAAAATTTAAAAATTTAGTTTACATTGTTCCAATTTTTTTTCGAAGATTTAGCAGCTGAATCGAAATGCGATAAGTTTAGTCGGATGAATCACAATAGTTATCGATATTAATTTATCGTTTTGAATTTAATAAACGGATTTGTTAATAATTATATAAATAATTATTATCAGCTTGAACAACGTATGATGTGTGTATGTAAGAATTTCGCACACAAGAAAAATCTACATTGATGAAATACGGAAACCGGAACGCTGTAGGCAAATGTGAGAGAGGAGGTACAGAGTGCAGGACACAACGCGAATAGGTGTTACGGGAAAGGGCGCGAGCGGGAGAGGAAGAGTGCGGAAGCGTGCTTTGATCATTTACGCGGGAAATATGGCTATTGAGAGCGCTCGGCTTTTGCATTAGCTATCGTATCAATAAAAATTGCACCGAGGGCTTGTCCGGACCACCTTCCATGCATCGTGTCGTTTAAACAGTTAATTAGAGGCTCGATTAGATAGCAAAAGCAAAGGTACGACGAAGGTTTCGAAAAACATTTTGAATTATGTCCGTATAATCATTCGCCAGTTTAGTGGAGAGCAACAAGATAGCTATCGATAGCGACAGCGATATAAAGTATCGCTTGTTACATTATATATTCATATAGGTATTATATCATCTCACTATATTTTGCTACGCGCGCGCGCGAACAGAAGCCGGCTTTGCAAGTTAATATTATTCTAAACTAATTAAATAGAATCGGATAATGTTACGCTCGAATCCTATAATGCTACATCCAAAGGTCTGTTTTTTGTAGTTGAACCTAGTGTGTACTAGCGTTTTAGAACTTAAAGTGAAATGATATATTTGTTTGATATTTGACGAAAGCGAGAAAGAAAGTTCAGTGCAGTTTAGTGCAGGAATGAAAACAGACTTCAAATCCGATAATGAGGATCATTGTTTTCGTAACTTATATAGATGAGAAAATACATATAAGTAATATATTATATATTATTAAAAATATAAAACTCAGTTAGAAATAACAAAACTTAAGGTAAAATATATGAAAATTTTTATTATATATTATACTTACGTGTTCTAATTCGTTTGCCTTTGGATGTCAATCCATGATGTTTCATCCTGAATCTGTGCTGACGCTGATCCACCGAGTTGGTCATGTTGTTCGCGAATAAGTAGCCCATTACTCGTGTACTTGAAACGTCCGATACGTTGGCAATCTTCCTCTGGATGTCCTCGTAGATTTGCGCCTTCTGCGTCTCCGCTGTTTGCCTGTACGTCTGGTAATACGGCCAGTCGGACTTCCCTGTCTCGCTGTACCTCGTTTTACCGTCGACGACGACCTTCGATGTTCGCGGTATCGCGGTCGCGGTGTACCTCGGTCTCTGCAGAGCGTACGACGTGGCGATGCTGTTGATGATCGCCGCCTTGTTGTCTCGCGGGATGTCCGTCACGACTTGCTGGCCGCTGCCGGTCGTGCTCCAATATCTATTATTAGAGAATTAAAAGACGAGATTGAGAGGAAAATCGAGGAAGTGCGGATGTTTTCAGATAAAAGCAGAGAGTCTAAATTAGAATAGCAGAGAATATAAATTAGTTAATTAAAATAAAGGAAATTGAGAATTTAGTTAAAGGACCGTGGAATTCAGAGATTGAAATTCACGAAATTTTCGAAACTTCTGTAATTAACTGCGGTGCAATTAAAGGTATACCGTTGTATGCGATAATTTCACGCAGTGTATACTCCATGATTATTAACATTAATGTCATTGGTTATGTTAATGCCATTCGAATACAATTGTTCTTGTTTCGATGCGCGTGTTTTGATGGATCGAACGTATCGAATGCTTTAACACGAATCGATGGAATTTCCATTACTGTTCCGTCCATACACTCGCAATCAATACTCGATGAATATACATGCAGTCGGTCGATGTGGTGCAGCGGAACGCCACAGTGTAGACAGCGCCTAGACAGTAATAAGTTGGACGAGCGTGTTAGGTAGCAATTACTAAATGGAATTGGCCAGGTATTAGTGGCGCTCTGAACTTGTCGGACCCCATTTGCTGAACATGTATGCATTACTTGTATAAAGCCGGAGTAATGCCTGCGCGTCGCGAGATGAAGTTGTTAATTAATTATTCCCAGGACAATAAAATTCGCTAACTCGTAAATAACAAAAATGGTCCATGCTCATATAGTCGATTTGTCGACAAATTAATTCAACCAATACAATTGCTGCAACGGTACAACTTACGCTTCAATTATAATGGCAAATGAACAGATAAATTTGCGTATAACGAGTGTATGTTAATGTGTGGTCTTTGCGAAAAGCAACATTTATTCGAGAAAAAATATTCATACGATTGAAATGTTATAAAAGAGCGCTGTTATAAATGTATATTATATTCTAGGCAGATTAGTCACATTTTAAAATATGACAATAAACATTTAGATCTAGAGCGAAAAATAGTAAGGAACATTAAACGTACGTATATTACTTTATTTTTTTTGTGGTATGTATATTAATTATTATAAAACAGATTCGATTTAATCTGTCCACGTCGATATCCATGGAACTGTTAAAGTTATACATGAAACATTTAAAAAATTCCTTTAACAGGCTCACTTTAAGATGGTTTTTAATGTGATGGAACCATATTCATCATCTGTGAAATTTTAAAGAAGGAAGAAGTACTGGAATTTTTCAAATGTAAATTTCGGACAAAAATAGCACTTGATACCCGAAAAAACGAAAAAACTATGATATTAAGGGTTTATCTTCGATGCTATGATCGCAACTAATTTTAAAAAATCGTCTAGGAAAAGTATTGGATGAAAACTCATCGAAAAATTTGACTATCCTTTCTCCCTCAAAATTTAATAGGGAATGAGTACGGTTCCATTAAACTAAAAATAATCTCAAAGTAATCCCATTGAAGGAGCTTTTTCAATTTTTTGCCTAACTTTAATAGTTTCCGAGATATCAGCATGGACAGATTGATCGAACAGAAATCGATACTTTCCCGAGACAATTTTCAAAAATTTATTGCGGTTATAATATCGAAGACAGATTTTTAATATTATAGGTCATTAGATTCGTTTCTTCGGGATTTATTAAGTGCTATTTTTGTCGGAGATTTACATTTGAAAAATTCTACTATTGTTTTCCTCCTTAAAAGTTTGTAGGGAATGAGTATAGAGAGGAAGTTCTATAACACAAAAAAAATCATCTTAAAATAATCCTATTAAATGAGCTTTTTTAATTTTTCGTCTAACTTTAATAGTTCTCAAGATATCAACGTGGACAAATTAAATCGGATATTCTGTACACTTATATTATTTAAATATTCACTGAAAAAAAAATAATTTTAATAAATTTTAATAAATATTCGTTTGAATAGTTCTAAATAAATATTTACTAAATATATTTATTTCATAGAAAAACTATTAATTTGATTCAAATATTATTTTTTTATTGAATAAGTATTTATTCACTAAAATAAATGTTTGCTTAGTACTATTCAAAGAAATATGTAAGATTATAAATATATAAGATTTAGTAAATTTTTTTTCTGCGTAACAATTCATTTTAACATCTCAAGATTCATTGTCGTTCGTTAGCGCATTTGGGATAGTGTTCCGATTAGGCAATCTTATCTAAGGTAATTTTTCGATTTTCGTAACACGAATTCGTTGGGGGAAAATCGGTTCTTCGTTATGAACGTTATACGAGTGGTCGTCGTAGTTCTCTCCGATACATGCGCTTCAATGAATCGAATTTAGGGAACTGACTGGAGGCGTGTGAACGCGCGAAAACAATTTCGAGAATTGATTTACGGTTGGCATGTGGTACACATAAGAAAGACAGAATCAAGGGGTTGTTGGACAGCAGTTCCAAAACTTGCGTTTCACACAGGGAGAAATTCACCGTGCTTCGTCTCTTTCCTTTTTTCTTTCTCTTTTTTTTCTCTCACAATTCTGTCAGTCGTAGAGAAATCGTTCTTCATGTATTTGCGCGCAACGAGATTTCATCGAAAACGTTTATTCTCATTCGATACAGGAAGCTACGTCTCTCGGTGCAGACAGGACTGGCATTACTGGTCCGTGATGTTTGCGATTCAATTACTATAACAATTCGCAACGAAAATTTGCAATTCTGAACGCAATCGATTAGAAAATTCCGTTTAAGTATGGTAATTACGAATTCCGATTGTAATTTGTGACCCACTTAAACAATTACGCTTTGCAATATGTAGGCAGTGCATATGCAATCGGTACATATCAGTTCGTGGTAGAACTACGAGACTGGAATTGTCTAATTATCTCAGTTATCCTCTAATTACAAATTTCATCGTTCCACTTGCAGCAAACAGATAGATAAGATAAAACAATTCCGTACGCTTTCGTAAGTCATTTATCAAGAATATTTTGTTATGATTGCCCGAACGTAATCCTATATAAGTCGTGCGTAATACTGATAGTTATCTGATCTCATTGGTATTAAAAATACGCCGGCGCAGCATGTTTAGCATAATCGTATTTTCTGCGATAATTTGCATGTATGCAGATCTGGTATAAGTTTACTTTTTCCTACGCTTTAATATTCCTCTAGGAAGTTCCGAGCGGCTGGCCGCTAAGCTAAGAACCAAGCTTATAGGTCGCCATAACTTTTTAATTAAACTGACCTACCATTATTCTACGCTGTCAACCGAAAAACCTAAATGAACGCACGAATCTTATTTAATCTCTGCGAAACTTGCTGCCTGATTGCGAACGGAAAATCTATCGTTTTAACACTGCGAATACTTCCGAGTTGCGTTCGATTAAACATCCGAATGTTAACAATTCAATCGATCGTCGTGCCTGAGGTGTGGAACGACTAGTGGAATTTTACAATTGAAAGGAAATAGAACTATATTTGGATCTAATCGACGACATTTTCAGCTCGATCTTCGTTATACCCTACCGGGTTCGTGTAATGACATCGTCTATGTCGATTATGGTCACGTCGCGCGTCTACAGGAAGTTTGGCGAAGTAGGGTAAACAGTATATAGTTGTTGGCAATCAGTATAGTTATGGGCGTGGGGAGAAGCACAGGAAATTGTCTTCGAGCATTATTACCTTACTTCGTAACAAGAGAACATCTTTTGCGGAAAGCTGAGATATAACTTCTCTAATCAATTTTTTTAAAAGAAATTAGCAGAAATTAGCTAATATATTTCCGATCAAAAGTGCATTTAATTTCTTAAAATTAACGCCAACAATAAAAAAAAAAGAAACACGAATTCCTATGAATCTTTCTATTTTTCAAACGATAATATATATCCGCTTGTTTGAGGGTTCCCTTTATTGCTGCTTGCTTTATATCGATTTCCATTCTTCGGGTGGGAAAAGAACATATTTATTGCCATCGCGCCTCAGCAGATCCAAAATATTGACTTGAAGTGCTCCGTAATCGCGGGTACTAAAACATATTGTGAATCGTTAGACTCCGTACGAAATCGTAGTCATTTTATGACTTTGTGATGATGAAGAAAAAGTTATACACGTGTGTATTTTTAAGTTTTGTCAAGCAAGCCAGGCTCTTGATAATGACGATAATATGTATAAACGCCATCATCGCGGTAATTTGTGCTCTTATGAGGATGTCGATCGCAACATTAACGACGCAGCGATTTATTTTAACGTCGTGCTTGTTGGAATTTACAAGCGATGGACTTAATACGCGGGAGAACGCGATACAATGGAGGCCGGTGAATTAATTGCGCGCTAATGCACTTGCATTTGATGGCAGGGGGACTTTGAGCGTTAATGCATGTATTTTGTTGTTGGTCCTGAATTTTAGTTCCATTGTACCTCGTTACGTATTTGTTCGCGATATGCATAATATGCATTATTTTATCAACCATTATTTTCGCCGATATATTTTTTTAACCGGGCATGAAACATAAATTGCTGTATTGCGAATTTCGTAACAAGTTTTTTCTGCGAATAATTTATTTTCAGTTCGTTTGGATGGCTTATTTCGCTATAAATTAATTATTCGCGTTTCTGCTCGTTGTATAACTCGGGAAAATCCAAAGTGCAATCAAGACCAGAAAAAAGAGCAGCTCGGGTTTCCGGGAATATTCAAGAGATACATAATATTGCTCAATATGAGTGGAAAGTATGGTGGAGATTTTCCAACATTACGACAGTAATAGCATTTACATTTTGGATTATGCAGGCTGTTTCGTGAGTCCGTTCGCGCGGATTATCACAGAGCTCGTGCGAGATATGAAAAAATGTTTCAGAGAACACCATGTCACACACACTTGAGTGCGAGCGTGGCATAGTAGGCAGCGTACGAGATTGCTATGCCAGAGATCCTGGGTTCAATCCCAGGCAGAACCGAAAAATTTTCGTATGCTCGTAGCTCCTCTCGGTAGGCAATGGCAAACTACCGGGAGTATCCTTGCCATGTGCACTTCTATAGGATAACTCC